CTCGCCATGGCCACCGTCGTCTCCAATGTCGGTGTGGAGGTCGTCGAGACAGCGATGGCCATGGCGAGGCGCGCGACGTCTCGGGTGCCCAAGAAAGAGACCTTTGAAGTTTCAAATGACTGGCCCTTCTTGACAATAGCAGCGAAGTGCGCGTGAGCACCGCCGCAAGCGAGGAAGAGGTTGGTGAACCCTGTCGTCGTGTCGAGATACGTGTTGGTCACGTTGCCTCGGCCCGCCTGGTGCAACGTCTCCCATAGCTCGAGGATGTGCGCCGAGAGGTTGCTGTTCGCGACGACCTGCGCGAGCTCGTCGTACATGCAGAGCGCCTGGAGCACGATGATGAGCGCATCGCTCGTCGTCGCAGGCAGCTCGATAAGACCAGCGTCGGCCGCGAGCATCTCAGCGAGCCACTCGTCGACGAGAAACTTGGTCCGGTCGCCCTTGACCTTGAAGTACGTCCTCACCTCCGTGAACATTGAGCTTGGGCGGTGGAAGCAGAAAGCAAATATAAGAGCGTGGCCAGTGTGGCGAAAAACCAATGGTCTTCATAACCAACATCGTTTAAACAGTGATTAAACGTTTTACCCACTGATTAAACCAGTGTTTACCACTGGTTAAACAAGTGCGTAAACATCGTCGCACTCGAGAAGCACGGGGCATCTAAGAGCATTAGACATAAAGGCCAGGTGAGTGCTCAGCACCAAGTAAATGTATATTCCATGTATTCGTCTGTGTATTAGTCGAGATTCTGACGACAGAATTCTTTTATACCGGCGCATTCGGTGTTGGCCTTGTGGGCAGCCTCGCACCCTGCCTCGCACCACATGCAGACGTAGAGCTTGAGCGACTTGTTGGTCGCTACTGTGACGTCCATGCAGCGAAAGTGAAGGCAGCTTTAGGGCCGCTTCTTGCTAAACCTGATCAACTTTGCTAGTGCGCTCGTGTTGCACGAGAGCAGCGCTCCTACAATTTGTACGAAGGTGGTTGGTTGTTGTTGAAGTGGGTCGTCTAGAGGAAGGTGGTTGGTTAATCAAATTCTGATGCGTTTAAAAGAGTTGCGTCCTTCTAGCTTACAATATTTTGAAACAGTATATTTGGTCATACGGCTAGAAACACGCTACTTATCATGCTGCACTTGGCCATGCGGCGACCTTTTTCCGCACTCACTCTTCTGCTTTTTCGGTAAAATGTCAATGGCGTCAAAAGCACAACAGCACGTATCTTGCCGTCAAGAGGTTTGCAACCTGTCAACCTGTGGACATCCGGCAGACACGAGCGAGGATATCAATGAAAAACGCTACGCAATACTATTTTAGGACAAAAAATAGGTTAACGCTCAGCACGGTGCTGGGCGAGAGGGACCAGCCATCCACGTACGACACGTGGTCGCGACCGGGCAAATCCCTCGAGCGTACGCGTCTCGATGCCGTCGAGACCCATCCAGTTCGTGTCGTTGAAGCAAAGCTTACTCCGCGACGCGGACGCTAGCGCGGCAAAGAGATAGTCGCACGACGCGAGATCGTCTATGATTTTGAAGGCGCTGAGGTATAATTGCACCTCATGAGTGTTGCGCGTCTCGATGATCGCAGCAGCCAGCCGCGCTGCATTTGGCAAGGCGGCGAGCTCCTGGTGCAAAACGGCCAGAGGCTTGTCCCCGACGAAGAACGGCAGGTGCACTACATTTGAGCGCCACACGCCCGGCACGTCACGGATGTCCTGGCCGTCCAGAATCGTGGCGTGGATGTCGACCGTCGATGCAAGCGGCGTGCGTCGGAGCGCGTCCAGACGGTCTTGTCGTCGCCGTAGTTGTTGATCCTGAAGTGCGCCGGTTGAGGTCCGAGGTCGTGGGCCACGTGCGGGGCCGCGCGTCGAGAAGGTCCACGAGGCCGTCGAGCGAGTCGTCGCGGGCTTTGACCGGCACGGCGCGCAGGAAAGCCAAGACGTCCGCGGGCTTGTGGAGCCAACGGGCCACCTGCAGCACAATGGGCGGCTGGAGCCACGACGCCGGCTCTGCTCGGGCTCGCTTCGACTCTATCTTCCAGCGTCCAAAACGATTTATGAGGTCACAAGGTACGGGTGGGAAATCGAATGTACGTGGGAAATAGATGCACCAAGCCAGTGCTGTGGCGATTGTCAGCCAAGGCAACTCCGGTGGCGGTCGTACTGGCGTTCGGGATTTGGCACGAATCACAGCGACGTAATGACCATGCAGCGGATGACGGAGCTGGCACGAGCTCTTTTAGAGGACGTTCTGGGTATCGTTCGCGGGTCTGAGCTTGATTGTACTGCACGCGGTGGTACTACCTGACAGGAGATGGTTCGCTCTCTTCTCGTCGCCGTCGCCATGCAGAATATGTCGTGGGCAGCATCCAGTGTCTTGGAGCAGCCAGTGGATAGGTAGTACAATCGCTGGCGGTTTGACGGAAAAAGATCGCGATCAAAAAATGTTGGCGCGCTCTGATTGGCTGAAATCCTGGCGTAAAAATTGGTCCCACCGCCGTGCCATTGGCATTTGCTAATCTAAGTGCCATGGACGCAGAGGTCGCGCGGCAGACGGCCGATGCTGCCGCCAAGGAGGCCAGCCTCAACGAGCTCAAGACCAAGACGAAGGCCTTCGCCGATGCCATGACCGCCGAGAAAAAGCAGCTCGAAGCCTCGCTCGCGACCGCCAAGGCCGAGCTCGCCGACATCAAGGTCAAGGCGACGGCCTTCGCCGACAACGTCCACGCCCAAATCGTGGCCGAGAAGGACCACGTGCATGCTCTCGAGTCGCAAGTACAGGCCAAGGAAGCTAAGCTCGTGACGCTCAAGGCGCAGCCGGCGAGTCCGAGTCTCGACCAAGGTGCCAGCGAGGCCGTGGTCGTCGCCAAGGAGCGTGAGATGCAGCAGCGACTCGACGAAGCTATGGCGACCATGCGAGCACAGGCCTTTGAGAAAGCACAGCTCGAGCAAGACGCGCGCAGCGCACAGGCGCAGGTAGATGCACAGATCCCGCAGCCTCGCCGAGGCCCATATGCGCGAACTCGAACAACTGCAAGCGACAAGCCTCGCTCAAGTCGACGGGCTCACAGCGCAGCTCGCGACTGCATCGGCGCACGCACAGAGCCTCCAAGCCAACGCATCGGCGGCCGAGAGCGCGAGTGCCAGCCGCGCAACCGCGCTGCAAGAGACGCTTCAGACGGTCGAAGGTCTTCTCGAGCAGCTCGCTCCGATGGCGCAGGCGCATGCAGGCGTCAGTATGCGCTGCGACGATAACGCAGCAGAGCATCTCGAAGGTCGCGTGCAACGCCTCGAGGCCGAGAAGGCGACCCTTGAGAAGGACGAGGCAGCCATCGAGACCGTGCTGCGTGACGACAGCATCGCTCGAGACGGTCTCGTCGGCGCAGACACAGCTCTCGATGTTGATAACCTCTCGATGCCAATCGTCTCGTCGAACGTTGGCGTCGAAGCTGTCGAGGCGGCGATCGCAACGGACGCGCGCAGCACTCCTCTCTTTCACGCTATCTTGCGCGTGGCAGCTGAAGCCAACCTCCTCCCAGACCTTCCTCGGCGTAGTCAAGGCGAGCTCATGGCTGTTGGTGACGTCGTCCTCCCCGACGTTGGCATCTAAAGCAACTCGCGGAGTCATTTCGTCGCGTACACGCCTTTCCACATCGCATGCAAAATGCTCGCGAAGCGAGATCGTTTTCTCTTTGGACCCACATGCCGACAGTCTTCCACGGCGCTGGCTGACTTGACTGCGCCTTGACGCAGGCGAACGTTGCGCGCACGGTCGGCGTGGCGCCAACGGCATGCGTTCTGTGTCACTTGAACGCTTGCTTTGCTCGCGACAGCTGCGTACTGTGACCGCGATGTATCCGGATGCGACGAGGCATCCGCATACGCTGCCAGGCTTGGTGGTGCGCATTTCAAAAGCAGGACCATGTCGACCGGGCGCGTTGGCACGGCGCAGCTCGCGAGCCTCCAGGGCGACTCGGCGCACATCCGCAACATCTGCATCATTGCGCACGTCGACCACGGCAAGACGACGCTCAGCGACAGCCTCGTCTCCTCCAACGGGATCATCTCGGACCGCTTGGCCGGCAAGGTACATCCAAGGCCATCACCATGGGCCTCTCCACACGCCCATGCATAGATTCGGTACCTCGACAACACGGAAGAAGAGCAGCTCCGCGGGATCACGATGAAGTCGAGCGCGATCTCGCTGCTGTACGAAGGCCCGTTGACGCCGGCCGAGAAAGCCCAGCGCGGTGGCTCGGACGACGACACGGTCCCGTACCTGATCAACCTCGTCGACTCGCCGGGCCACGTCGACTTTCGTTTGACGTCTCGACGGCCGTGCGCCTCTGCGACGGCGCCTTGGTGCTCATCGACGTCATTGAAGGCGTCTGCGCCCAGACCCACGCCGTCCTGCGGCAGGTACAACCACTGCTGTCTCGATACAATATGCGGACGCGGATGGGGCGTAGGCGTGGCAAGAAGGCATCCGTCCGTGCCTCGTCCTCAACAAGCTCGACCGCCTCATTTACGAGCTCCAGTTTACGCCGCTCGAAGCGTACCAGCACATTTGCCGCATCGTCGAGCAAGTCCGTGGCGTGGATACGTTGATGCATTGATACTGAGATACGTTCCTAGGCCAACGTGATCATTAGCTCCATGATCCGCGCCGACCTCCTCGACGAGCAAAGCGAGATGGACATGAGCGACCTCGTCGACGACGACGGCGACGAGACCGAAGCCCGCGAGCGCCGCTGGATGTTTTCGCCGGCGCGCGGCAACGTGCTCTTTGCGAGCGCGTACGACGGGTGGGCCGTTGGCATCGGGTACTTTGCCGCGTACTACGCCAAGAAATTCGAGATGCCGCAAGGGCCGTGGCGCCAAGGCCTCTGGGGCGAGTTCTACTTTCACGGCAAGACCAAGAAGATCCGGTCGACGCCGTGGACGTCCAACAGCCAGCCCATGTTTGTGACCTTCGTGCTCGAGCCGCTCTGGGCCGTCTACAAGGCCATGGAAGAGCCGACCGAGCACAACCCGGACGCACTCCCGCCATTGCGCCAGCTCACCAAGGTACATATGGATGATGCCGGAGGTATCAATATATCATTTTTCAATGTAGAACCTCCGCGTGGCCAAGGTCGTGAGCGACCGCGAGCTGCTGCAGAAGGACCGGCGCCTCGCGCTGCAGTGCGTCATGCGCAAGTGGCTGCCGCTGGCGACGTCCGTGCTCAAGATGGTGACGCGCATGCTGCCGTCGCCCGTGACGGCGCAAAAGAGCCGCGCCGAGCACCTCTGCGTCGTGAACCCGGCGTTCCCGGACCAGCTCCGGACCTTGAACGCGATTCAAGGTACACACCTTGGTCAGCGCAGACGATGACGCACTCGTGTAGCGTGCGCCGTCGACGATGACGCGCCGGTCGTCGTGTACATTTGCAAGATGCTCTCGGTCGAGGCGACCAACCTCTCGGACTATGCGACCAACGCGACGCTCCGGGCCATGTACCCGATCAAGGAGGTCGGTCCAAGTATCAATGTATCAGTAATATGGACACAACGCTAGGACAACCGCGGCGCCGAGGCGTATGTCGCCGTCGCGCGCGTCTTCTCGGGAACGTTCCGTCCGAATGCGCCCATGTTTGTGCTCGGGCCCAAGTACAACGGCGAGGGCATTGGCAGCAGCCACGTGACGGCGCTGCCGCCCATGGCGCTCGGCCTCTACATGGTCATGGGCAGCGACTTTGTCCGCGTCGAGCACGTGGCCGCCGGCAACATTGTGGGCATCCTCGGCCTCCACGAGCACGTGCTCAAGACAGGTATTTTCCGAGTTTTTCCGATTTTTTGGATTTTTGACGAATTTTGTTTGCCCAGCAACGCTCTCGAGCACGCTCGCGTGTCCGTCCCTCGCGCGCATGCCGTACCAGGCCAAGCCGATCGTGCGCGTGGCGGTCGAGCCCGCGGACCCGCGCCACTTTGCCGAGCTCGAAGCAGGTCTGCAGCGCCTCTACCGCTCCGACCCGACGGTCGAAGTCCACGTCCAGGTATACATACTATCGAGTCGAAATGTACTAACTAGCCGCGTAGGAGACGGGCGAGCACGTGATTGTGGCGCTCGGCGAGCTCCACCTCGAGCGCTGCGTCAAAGACCTCACCGAGCGCTTCGCCAAGGTCCCTCTGCACGTGTCGGAGCCGCTCGTGGGCTTTCGCGAGACGATCGTCGCCAACGAGACGGGGGGCACGGCCTTGTACCTTTCCATCGTCCAAGTTCTTCGCACTAAGCACATGGTCTTAGGCTGAGCACGATCTTCAAGGACCTCAAGCTGGCCGAGATGACGACCAGCACGACGGCCGACGGCAAGCACAAGACGCTCGTGTGTCCGACGCCGGACGGCCAAGTCGCCGTGCACTTGCGCGCGGTGCCGCTGCCACCGGCAGTCGTCGACGTGCTTGAGGCCCACGCGGAAGACTGGAAGCGCTTCCACAGCACCGACGACGATGCGGACGTCGCCACGTACGTCCGACATTCTTCACATGATAAACTAAGAGCGAGGAGGCTGCGGACCGAGGTGCGGACGGAGCTCCAAGCTGTCCTCGCGGCCTGCGACGACGCCTTTTGGAAGACGATGGACCTCGACCGTCTCTGGAGCTGTGGTCCTCGCCGGGTAGACATCATCCACTCTCTGGATCGAAGAATCTTAGTCGTTTGTGTAGGTGGGTCCGAACCTCTTGATCAACAACGTGCCCGACTGGTCATCGCCCTCGACCATCTGGGTGCTGAACCGCGGGCTCGTGACCGACGAGCGCATGAAGCTCGAGTCGTCGCTCGTCTCGGGCTTTCAGCTGGCGACGGCCGCCGGCCCGCTCTGCGACGAGCCTGTGTGGGGCGTCGCGTTCGTCGTCGACGACATTGTGCTGACGCCGGTGGACGCGGACGCGGAGGCCGTCTACGGCCCGCTGAGCGGCCAAGTCATCTCGAGCATCAAGTCGGGTTGCCGCAGCGCCTTCTTGCACGCGCCCGTGCGCCTCGTCGAAGCCATGTACAAGTGCACGGTGCAGTGTCAATCGGAGCAGCTCGGCAAGCTCTACAGGTACGACTTGAACTTTGATATTGTATCGATGTATCAACGATTAGTGTGTTTGCCAAGCGCCGGGCGCGCGTCGTCGGCGAAGAGCTCGCGGACGGCAGCGCGCTCTTCAGCGTCGAGGCGTATCTGCCGGTCGTCGAGAGCTTTGGCTTTGCGACCGAGCTCCTCAAGAACACGAGCGGGAACGCGAGCAACCCGCAGCTGCTCTTTGACCACTGGGCCGTCATGCCCGACGACCCGTTCTTCCAGCCGACGACGGACGAGGAGCGCGAAGACTTTGGCGAGGCGATCGCAGAGCACAACGCGGTGCGGAAGCTCCTCGAGGGCGTCCGGAAGCGCAAGGGTCTCTCGCGCGAAGAGAAGATCGTCGTCCACGCCGAGAAGCAGCGCACGCTCGGCCGCAACAAGTAGCCGTAAAGATGAAAAATGCACAACAATCCATCCTCCCATCACTTGCACAGACGGGAATCGAAGCGGGATGGGCTAGCACACTAATATATAAGTTGAATAAGAGTCGTAAATCAAAACGTCGCGTCGTCCGGCACGTCGGGCGGGTCGAGGCTCGTGGGCATCGGCGCCGCGATGATGTCGAGGATGCGCTGGTGCGTTCGCCGCGACCGCGCGCTCGTCTGCACGGCGGCCTCGATCTGCGTGAGGAGTTCGTAGAGGTACCCGATCTCCGAGTGAATGAACTCAGCCTGCTGCTTGAGCTTGGCGTTGTCGCGCACGAGGTCTTCCTGGAGGCAGCGCGCAATGTCCATCTCGCGCAAGGTCGCGACAAACGAGATCGGGTCGTCGTCGATCTGCGACTCGGTCATGGAGCTGATGGTCGGGCACTCGCTCACGGTGCCATCGCTCGACGAGTCGCAGCTCACGGCCTCGAGCAGCCGTCGCCGAGGAATGCCCGAGGCCATGCGCGGGATGCGCGACGCCGCCTTGGCCTTCTTGGCGCTGCCGGGCGCCGATGGCTTGAAGAGGCGAGGGATCTTGGACTGGATGGAGGAGGCGCCGTGGTGGTGCTGCCGCTTGCGCTCCTTCGCCCCGTCGTCCGACGTCGCGCCGTCATGGGCCGCCATGAGGAGGCTAATCGCACCGGCTTTGTGTTGCAAATGGACGCGCTGGACCCCGGGCGCCTTATCCGGAATCCGGATACAAGCAGGTAAAGGCGAAACTCCTCGGCGTGAAGACAAGATCCTCGACTCTCTGGGATGCTTGCGTGGATCATGGGATCAATATGTACAATGCCATGGGAGGATCATGGTCGTGATGGCTACTGCCTGCTATGTGGAGGTGCGTGCTTTCGACAGCACGAGGACGAGGTACAAAGCATGTTCGAAGAAGGAAGGATCGTCGTCCTCGGTCTCGTGGCGCGGTCAGCCCACTCGACGCATTGAAGCTGCGCGTGCATATCCATGCACAACCAGGCGACGCGTCTTCCTAGCCCTCTTCAGGTCGGCGCGCTTGGACCTGAACGAGGATGGGCGCAATACCGAGTGCTTTTTATCCGCTAGATAACAGTGCTCGAAAAGCCAGCTGTGGAGTTCAGTTTCACACAAGCGGCCAGCAGCAACCATGGGTCTGCTCGAGTGGCTCCTCTGGACAATGCTCGCCCAAGGCAGCGCGCTCGGGACCTTCCTCCTCATGTTCATCGCCACGAGCGTCGTCGTGCAGTTCTGCGCGTTCCGGTTCCTCCGCTTTGCGCCGCGCTGTTCGCTCGTCCCCGACGCCTTCGTGGCCTTGCCGACGGACGCGCAGCTCGCCCACGTCTACGAAGCCTTCGCCATCGGTGGCATGGCCACGTGGGCCGTGACCGTGCTCATCGTGCACGTCTGGGACCTGCCGCCGCGCACGTACCTCGGGTTCGCGTACTCGTGCTTCACGGGCGGCACGTACGGCCTCGGCCAGTTCTTCCAGCAGTATTACCCATAGCAGCCATCCAATATACACGTAGTAGTATGATTAGAGACAACGACGACGACGACGAGAGAGATGCGACGGCGACTACGACTGCAGGTCGTGAGTCATGTCGTCGCGCAGCTGGCGAAAGAAGGCGAGCTCCTGGTCCACCGTCGCCTACGGAATACGCCCATGGAGCCTTTAGCACGTCATCCTCACGATACCAGCGGTCGGCCAGTGGTCGCCACATGGAGAGGCGGTGCTTGCTTGAGCTGCTGCAGAAAGCTGCCGACTTCGACCTTGGCCGAGGACGAGAGGGCAAAGGGCAAAGTGGCCTCGTCCATAAGCGGCGACTCGAGTGGCGAGAGGCAGCCGAGGTCCAGCACCGAGGGCGCGATGCCCCAGACGCTGCTGCCGCCGCTCGCAACTTCAAACGACTCGCTCCGCCGCCGCTCGTGCTTGGCGTCTACGACCACCGTAAGGTACAAGAACGATCACCAGGAAGAGACCGCGGGTCGGGTGGAACTGGAGCCGCGTCGCAGGAACGTTCTGGGGCGACGCGGATGGCGCCTCGCCCGCCAGCGCTCGGAACGGCGGGCTGCTCGAAAAGAAGGGCGGGGTCGTCGTTCTGCGCTGCTTCTCGGTGGCCACCGAGAAGGGCAGCTGCGTCGACGACGACGACGACGACTTGTCGCTGTCGGCGCTGCAGGGGCGGAACTTGCCGTCGAGCTGGAAGCCGTCGAGCGGTGCCATCGCGCGCACGGGCGTGCCGATCGGGACGGGCGCCGAGTTGGGGTGCAGCGGGGGCGTCTGGAAGCTGGCCTTGGCCATGGTCTCCAGAACGGACGCCGGCTTCATGGACGGGCGGCTATCACAACGCATTCGTAATGAGAATCCTGGAGGACGGAGGTACCGGAGCAGCTCCGGCGCATCCAACGAGTGGGCTTGCTTGGGTGGCGCGCTGTCTCGGCGCGGGTATGATGGCGTGTCGACTAGCAGCAGCAGCAGTATGAATATGACGGGCCTGTATGGCATCCGCCAAAATACCGGCGGTCGTTGCGAGGTGGGGAATGGGCATCGGCTGCGATGTGGCGTACGGTATCGCATCTGCAGCGCTCGCTCAACGTCGGTGGAGGATGACATCCATGATACCTCGGTGATCGTCGTCTTCCTGGACGACCATGCGCGCGGGGCCGAGCAGCGGGGATGGGGCAGGCTTGGTTTGCGGCGTCGTAGGCACGTAGTCCTGGATGATGGCGTGTTCGAGCGTCGGTGACACATCGTTCGCGACCGGGGACGGCGGCGCCATTTGCTCGATGGCCGCGAGCACGTCTGCGGTCTGCTTGCGGTACGTGACCCGGACCTTGACGACGCCAAACATCGTGTCAACGGGCTGGAAGCTGTACTGCTGCTTGGTCGTCGCCGTGTCAAACTGCAGCGGCATCTGCGCTTCGCTCTGTCCGAGGTGGTAGCTCAAGCCCACGAGCGCATGCCCGAGGTCCTCCTGTTGGAACTTGAGCTGTTGGCTCACGTGGAAGGCTGGCAAGATGCGCACGAGGCAGAAGAGCGACCGGAGCAAGATGGCGAGCTGCTGCACGACCTTGCGCAGCTGCGCGATGTAGTCGCCGGCCACGGTCGCGCCAAGCGCGCTGCTTGTCGAGTACGTGAGCTGCCAGCGCTCGAGGAGCGTGTCGCCCATCGAGATGTCGAGGAAGAGCGGGTCGTGGACGTTGGCCTTGACGGGCGCCATGGCCTCGCGCACGCAGGGCACCTCGACCATGTCAAAGTGCAGCTACATCGATCTGCATGACGCCATGGGCCATGCATACAGGGCGAAGACGTACGCGGGTGTTGCGCGGTGCGGCGCCGGCGGCAAAGTGGACGCGGCTCATGAGCACGAGCTCGACGGTCTTGTAGAAGGCCTCGAGGACGACGTGGTCTGTCTGCACCTGGCGCGTCGGCGACGCCCGCAGCGACGCGCTCCGCTCGAGGTGCGTCGACTGCATCATGCTCGTCGCTCTGATCTTTCTTCCAAAAAGAACCAGCACGGGCTCGATCCGGATACGGGCTGGCGATAGTAACCGGTTGCGACCTCGGTTCAACCGTCGATCGACATCCCAATCAAGATACCTTCCAGCGATGCCACTCTTCCAAACGAACTACAGTACATGCTCTTGATGCAGGTTGCTCGCATCGGTCCGCGCGGTCGCCACAAAGGCATCCAGTCGTGCGCAGTTTGCGAGGACGAGCCAGAGAGAAGAAAAGGCCTGTGGTCGAGCGTCACCGTATCGCATTGACAGCTCGTGAGCTTGGCAAGAAGGCGGCTTGCGCTGTGGGATGAGATTGACTCAATCTCTGCACCTCATTGCGCTTGATGGACCTGCCATCGATCGCATCGGCCGACAATTTCCGTTTAGCTCAGAAGAGACAGTTTAAAGTCCAACGATGTTGTACACGTCCTCTGGTTGTCGTGCACGAGGTGAAAGAGAGACCCTGTGAGCCATGGCAATGAAAGCCATTGGCGAGTGCAGGTCGAGCTCGTGGGTAGAGCTTAAACGCTTCAAATTGCTGGCGTCAAACAATTTAATTGGCCACACGGTGCATATTTTAGCCAATCCAAGACGAGAGTCAACCACCAAGCGTGGAAGCTCGACGCTGGGGCGCTGGCGTCGTCAACCCAACATTTTTTACGAAATCGCTCCTACTTTGCACGGTGGTAGAGAGACTTTTGGAGAGCAGAACGAGCTACACCGCGTCGCCGTTGGAGGTCTTGAACGCATGCAATGGTCTGTCAAAGGTGCATCATCCAATAGCCACAAATAGCCAATTTTAGTATCCGGTGTTGTCCGGATGTGGGCACTTCTCGAAACGTGGCCAGCATGACGGCGCGGTGGAGCACGCGGCTTCTGAACCTCCGGACGCGCGTCCTGTACAAGACCAACAAGCTCAAGTACGACACGCAGAAGACGGCCGAGCGCATCTGGTACGGCTCCAAGAACGTCGGCAATGCGACGGTCCAGGTCCCGTTCATGATCACGACGCAGATGAAGCTCGACCTCGCCAAAGCCGGGTTTCCCGCCGCGTCCATTGGCACGCTCACGCCGGCCGAGGCCCACCGCGTGCTGCAGCAAAATATTGCATTTGACGCGTACGTGGCGTCGCCAGCGAGCCCGGCGCCCTCGACCTCGACAGCGACGCCCACCGCGGTGACGGTCGTAGCGGACGTCGCGCCGGAGCCTGTCGACGCAAGCTCGTCGGCGGTGGCGCTGGTCGTGGAACCCGCAGAGACCATTGCTAGCGAGAGCGCAGTGTCGTCGGCCGTCGCCCTCGTGCCCGACGCGCCCAAGCAGGAGCCGTAGTAGTAGACCATAGAAATGCATGCTCGTAAGTCCTGTCAAAGTTGGTCGTTGCTCCATGAGGACCTGCTCACGCACAAACCTCCGGTGGGTTGCCCTCGTACGCTATCGACTTTGGAATTGTAGTATGACAGAACATGCGTCCATCAGTGAGAATTGAACCCACATGCCGTTCCATTCGTATGCTACGACGACGAATCCGCTCGCAGCAGACTTCGACAGCGTCGCCATCCCAACAACCCGATGGTATCGTCATGGATTTGGATGTTAGCTCTACTGCTTGTGCGCCTTGCGGAGGGCGATCACGATCGCGCACGAGCAAATGATGACGGCGCCGAGGACGCTCCAGAGGTTGATGGCTTCGCGCAGGAGCGTAATGTCCCAGATGAAACAAGACGATGTCGAGGTACCGCATGACGGACGCAATGCCAACGTTCTCGAGCTGGAAGCCTTTCGTCATGAAGAGCTGGCCCATGAAGCCAAAGACGCCCGTGGCCACGGCCGCCGCCCACACGTCCGCCGTCAGCGCCACATTGATGCGCTATACGTAGTACACCATGAGTCGATGGGTCGATCGTCGATGCGTCGTCGTCTACCTGTTCGACGAGGAGCATCCAGAGACCCGACCCCATCGTGCACGTGAGCATAAAGTACTGGATGACGACCATAAAGTGGAGGCCCTTGAGCCCGCGCACGACGACGTACACAAGCGCTTGGCTGGCCGCCGCGCAGAGGCCGCCGACGACCGCAAACTTGGAGCCATGGACACCGTCATCAGCCGACTCGCCAAAGAGGAACGACGGTCGCGAGACGCAGACAACGCCGAGGAACGAGCAGAGCGCGCAGCTGAACGAAATCGGGTCGATGGTCTCGTGCAGGATGAGCGCGCCCTATATATACGTCGTTCTATCCGTGTCCTTAGCTATGAGATGTATATGTGTACGAGGAAGAAGGACCAGACGGGGCTCGTAAAGATGATGACGCTGGCGTCAGCTAGCACCATTTGAGACATGGTCCAAAAGCCCAGCGACATGGAGAGGAAGCCGACAAAGCAGCGGATCGCGAGGAAGAAGCGGTACTCCGGCGCGACGTACAAGCTCACGCGCTGGCACTTGATCGCGATCTACGCACGTCGCATGAGTGTTCAGCCACGCACATTGGACTAATAGTACGAGGATGAGGATCCATGCAAAGCCAGAGCGCCAAAAGACCGTCTCCATCGACGACATGACATAGCTCTCGTATCTATTACGCGCTGCATGAGATGGATGGCAGAGGAGGTTGGTAGTACTTGATGGCGCAGGACATGAGGCTGAAGGTGAAGGCCGAGCACGCGACGAGCGAGAGGCCGAGGAGGTGGTGGTGCGCCTCCGGCTTGGGCGACACGAGCGGTAGGACCTCGGACTTGGATGCCATCGGTGGTGCGCGCAGATTGCAGTTTGAAAAAAGGCCGTCGTGTTCGGATACAACGGACGAACCAATCATTGGCGAGCTCGACGTCGGAACGAGCCAACGGAACAAGGCCGACGTCGCGCAGTCCTCTACACAGCTAGAGTAGAAGGAAGGGCCATCGACTTGATGAGAATGGCCATGTCCAAGTGGGCTGCGCTTGTACTACGACGTTGTCTGAGCATCGGCAATGATCAGGACATTGCCGTCACCGAGGCGTCATGGCAGATAGTACTTGAGGAGGAGCGGTCGTCGTCTTGATCGTCCGCATTCGCCAAGACTGTCGGCGCTGGAAGCGCTATTTCGTGCCTTCTTGACGGCGCTTCGAGTCCAAGCAGCTTCGTTGATTGAAGGCGTGGTGGTCGCCATCTGCTCTGTCGGATCCTGAATGCGGTACGAGGAACGGTCGCACGACAGTATATTTTCACTCAATCTACGCCTCGCTCTCCACGCTTCTGGTATTCATCTATACTATCCAAAGGTATCCAAGTACGTATCCCCAGCGAATCCATCTCAGAGCTCGTTCCTCTTGAGCGGTCCAAGCGATCCTGGGCCAGCACGGCGCCGCAATTGGCAGAAAAGCAACTAGAAGAGGGCCAATCCCAGCAGCGATCAACTCCTTCAAAACAAGGCGCCTCCGACTGCCAGTGGCGCGTTGCCCTGTGTTCAGTCGCGTGTCAAATTGCACGCGAAAAGGTTGAAGTGGGAAAATTATTTTAGTTTGCAACAATAAAAATACAAAATCCCAGCACAACCATCACAACCATGGCCAGCTACGACGCGGTCGCAGTCTCGCCCTCCAAGAAGCAGGCGCTGCTCGGCGACGCCACGCCTCTCAGCGTCGTCGTCGTCTCGGGCAAGGGCCTCGTCGCGCTCAGCAGCGACGGCCTCACGAGCAACTGCATGTGCGAAGCCACGCTCTTCTTGCGTGGCGGCAAGACCGCGACGACCAAGACCAAGGTCGCCAAGATGACGCGCAACCCGCTGTGGCACTGCCCCGTGGCCTTGGGCACGCACGCTATCGGCGACATTGAGAGCCTCCAGCTCGCAGTGCGCCACGTCGCAGGCTTTACGACCAAAGAGATGGGCGTCGCTGTGATCCCGACCGACTTTTTCCTCGGCGAGCCTGTACGAACGATGGAAGAGGATGTCTCTGACGCATCCCATAGAACACCGAGCAGTGGTTCGACCTCGCGCCTACGGCGACCATGATGCGACAGTCCTCGTTCCGGCAAGACTGGCCGTACGGTCAAGTGTGCGTGAGCTTGGCGCCGCGGTCGCGGTCGCAGGGCAATTCGTCCGCACTTGCTGCGTCGTCTAGCGTGCTAGCCGCGTCTTCCTGCGATGCGCCGGTCGCGCGCAAGCATGATCCTGTCGCGGAGCTCGTCGCCGTGCGCAACTGCCACCAGTCGCTGCCGCAGCCAGGCGAGACGTGGTATGTCATCGCCGCAGCCTGGGTCGAAGCGTGGCTCGTAATTCTTTATCATCTCGTTCTTCTACGGACAAGAACTCACACACCCGTAGACCTTTGTGGCCAAGAAGACCAACGACGCGCCGAGCGAGGTGTCGAACCAGAGTCTCCTCGACCCCGCCACCGGGCAGCTGCGCGCCACGGTGCATCTCAAGACGGACGCGCGGTGCGTGAATGCTCGACTGCGTACATGCGTCTGATGGCGAAGTAGGCTCATCGATCCGCAGAGCTGGGCGCTCTATCGTCGCTGGTACGGCGGCGGTCCTGTCATCGCGGTGCAGGTCCCGACCGACGTGCGCAGCGTCGGGCGATGGCTGGCCAAGCTCGATTTGCCATCCGTTGCCGTCGTCCAGTAGTGCGCGCTTACATATCTATCAGTTCTAATACAAGTGCACCTGTCGCTCGTCTGCAGAGGACCACTAGCTTCGACTCAAAATACCGCCCGCCTGTCTCGGTGCCAGCGGTTACCGACTCTAATTCGGGCTCGCAATGGTCCCGCTGGCGACGCCGGGTGCGCGCTCGACGCGACAGGGCAGCACGGTCGAAGGCCTCGTCTCGCCCAAGATGAGCGGCAGCTTACCTGCCTTGCCGCGCACGGACCCCGCGCTCGGCGCCCTCAAGGCGCGCAAGAAGATGATGCAGAAGCAGCCGCCGACGGCGCGCCCGCACACGGCGGTCGGGGACTTCGATGGCGTCATCTACCAGAGCCGCATCAAGGCGCCCAAGGCGTACGAGACCACGAGCGTCAAAGAGCGCTGGCTGCTCGCGGCCGTGCGCACGGTCCACACGGCGGATGCGCTCCTGAGCAACAACAGCCTCAGCGGCGCCGGCAACGCGTACAAGCACCTGCACAACGCCGAGGCGCGGGCCCGCTGCGCCGAGTCGCTCTACAAACTCTCCAAGCAGCCGCTCTCGGAGCTCATGATCATCCAGTCGGGCGCGATCCAGGTGCGAGCGTCGTCGTCGTGCTTGTCCGGACCTCAAGTGCTTTAGAACATTGCCGACCTCACCGACGTCGAAGACACGCACCTCGCCCACTACTGCGCCGCGACGCTGGCCAACCTCACGTCCACGGCGGCCGAGGAGGTGGCGTCTCCGGATACCTTGATACTCAGAAACATGTGCTAGACGCTGGCGGCGTTCATCGCCAAGAAGGGCATCTCTGTCGTGCTTGAGATTTCGTGGTCGCCGAGCTACGACGTCAAGTGTCTCTGCGCGCTCACTCTGTGTCGGCTCTCGATTGCGCCGGCGTTTGCAAAGTTTCTGCACTCGTCCAAAGCGGTGCGGCGACATGTCGCAGGAATACTTGAAAGATTGATAGTTGGCGCAGATCATCGAGCTCTCGACGATGCTGTCGCTGCCGTATGCGCCGCTGCAGCAGCTCTGCGTCCAAGCGCTGAGCAACATGATCGCACACGGCTGCGACTTTCCCGAAAAGCTCTTCGCGGGCGGCGGCTCCAACGCGCACACGAACCTTGGCGTCATCCTCGCGCTCTCCCAGCTCGTTCAGGACCCCAAGCACGGTAGACTACGACAGACAAGTTGTCCATTCACATCACTGCGCAGGTCCGTTTGCGGCGGCCGTCATTTTTAACATGAGTCTGCAGCCGTCGAGTGCGTCGGGGGCCGTCCGAGGCGGCGTCGGTGAGCTCCTCTACACCCTCGTGCACGCACCCCACGTTCACCTCCCGTACGCAACGTTCAATGGATCCTTTTCCAATATCGATTAGGAACCGATCCCGGCTCCAGACGGTCCAGTCCATCAAGGACATGGTGCTGCACGAAGAGCAGATGGGCATTTCGCGCCTCCTCACGCGCGCACTGGGTCATTTTTCAAAGTACGTGGACCTGCACCTGCTGCTCGGCGCGTGGAGCCTCAAGTCCACTCTGTACCTCCTCTCTCTCTACGAGTCGATGCGCTCGACGCACGCGAGCGCGTTTGCTTTCATTTTGGCGCCCGCGAGCCGCGTGCTCGCGAACCTGTCCGCGAACGATGAGTTTGTCAAGGTCGTCCTCTCGGAGAACGAGTCGCTCGTGAAGCGCACCGTCGATCTCTTCAGGTGGGCAGCGGCCGACGACGAGTGCGCCCACAACGCGATGCGCACGTTCGCGAACCTCACGCGCAACGCCCGCTGCACCAAGGTGCTCGTGGCCGCCAACGTCGTCGCCGTCCTCAACACCGTATATACATGTGCCAATACGTCCAAGTACAATAAAAACGGTGGTGGGTAGGTGCTGCTGCTGCCGCCAACGACGCTGCACCTCCCGAGCTTGAAGGAAGACGCGGTCGTCGCGCTCATCAACATTGCGTGCCACCAGCAAATGCCCGAGAGCTGCGTGGCGCTGGAGCTGGACCGGAGCCTCGCGTGTGCCTTCGAGGCGCACAAGGCGACGTCGCCCGCGTTTGGCTACGCCGTCGCCAAGACCATGTGCTACTGGACCTTTGACGCGCGGCTGCGATCGATGGTGCTCGGGGACATGGCTTTTCTCATGGACGCGCTTTTGTTGGTTTTACTTCCCGCTGCCCCAGAAAGCGACCGCCGGCGACGCCTTCCATTCGGTCAAACCCCGCATCGCATCGCCGCTCGATGCGTTCGACGACGACGGTGTCCACGTACCTATTGAGAGTTGAGATTCACGTTGAGATTCACGGAAAGAGCATAGGCGCAACTGCGCTTCTTGGCCGCCATGTGCTATTGCGCGAGCGACGTGCGGTCCATCGCCCACGTGCGCGCGCTCGTGCAAGTGATTTTAACGTCAATGGCCTCGAGCCACGGCGCCGTCGAATACTACTGCGCCGGTATCCATTGGATAGTAGCGATCATCTATCCTATCCAAGCGATATCTAGGCATCCTCTTTGCCCTCTCGCGCACGCTTTTGTGGCTCTTCTACAACGACGACGGCGGCATCGAGGCCGAGTGGGCCGCCGTGCTGTATGCAGCGCCGATCCAAGACGCGATTCTGCGCCTCAGCCGGTCCACGCTGCAGTCGCAGACCGCGTACACGAGGGGCACGCAGGCCTTCTGCACCAGCACGCTCTACCACGTGTGTGCGTCCGAGCACACGAGCGCACAGGCCCTCGCGGGTGTGTTAGAGACGTCGAGCGACAGGGTGTTTTCATGGGGTACGTAGCGCTCGTCGACGCCTGCAACGAGAGCAAGGACCCGGCGACGCTCATGGCCTGCGCGTCAACGTTTGCGATCGTGTCGTTCACGGCGGCGGGGCGAGACTTGCTCCTCACCACCCACGGGCTTGCGCACGCGCTCAACAAGCTAGGGCGCGCGTCCGTGTGTCAGCAGAACGCTGCGATCGCCGCCTGCAACGTCGCGATCGCAGGGTCGTCGCACGCTTGAAAGACGGCGGCCCCTGATGCGTCGTTAGGTGCATATGGAATGCGGAGGAGCTCAAGGACTTTGTCGTTGTCGCCCTCTTGCGCTCCAACTCGAGCGACGCGATCCAGGTGCATGCCAAGACGCTCTACAACCTCCTGTCCCACCCGACGTCTCGGGTGCGATCGCTTCGGATCGACTGGATAGATTGATACGTGGATGTAGCATCAAGTGATTGAAGAGGGCGTGCTCTACTCGTTTCTAAAGCTCGCGCAGCTGCAAACGAATGGGCTCAGCGGCCTCGAAGAGACGCTGTCTCTCTGCTTGCACGCGCTCTTCAACCTCAGCGACCACGCGGGCCACCACGACACGCTGCTCAAACTCGGCGTGACACCCTTTCTTTTTACGGGCGTGAGCGGTCGGCGGAAGCGCATGCTGCACTTTCTAAACGTCGACAGCCGCCGGTATCCACCAAGACGAAGCGCAAGTTCTCATATATCGTAGGCACGCGGTTGGGCTCCTTTGCAACCTCAGCGCGCGCGAAGCCAACCACAAGGAGCTCATCACCAACGCGCAGGTCGTCGACATCTTGCGGGCGCTCTGCGACGGCGACGTCGAGACGCGCGCGAGTGCGGCCATGACACTGCGCAACCTAACCTTGCACTTGGCCAACGCCGAAGTGGTATACACCTCGTCGATCGTGCCGATATATAAGTCATGGGGTCTTAGATGTGCACGAGGAATCTGCTGAGCTTGCTCTTGGTCTTTATGACGTCGGGCCACGAGACCGTCCGGCGCCTCGCGGCCCAAGCGCTCGGCAACTGCTCGCTCGTCACCGAGCTCGTGCATCTCTTTCAGCAGCTCAACGTCGCCGACGCGCTCCTCAACGTCCTCCACTCGCCGCACCTCGACACGGAGACGGCGATGGCGATCCTAAAGACACTCCACAACCTCGCGCTCGACGACACGCTCGCCCTGCACCTGCTGCAGACGCAGGTCCATCCTCGATCCCTTCTTCTTACTATTGAACCTCAACTTTAGGTGGTGGCGCGCTGGCAGGCGCTACCCGCCGCCTTCTGGTCCCAAGTCGAGCTCAGTGCGGTGGCCGCGGCGACATGCCGTGTCCTGAGTCAAAAGCCGGACGGCGCCGATCTCGTCGCGAGCCAGCGTGCGGTCGAGCTCTGCCTGGCGCTCTGCGCGGGCAACTCACCGACGTCGTCGCTGATTTTCGACTGCCTCGCGTGCTTGGGGCACCTCTCGTCGCATGTGGAAAGCCACCCAGTGCTCTTTGAGAGCGACGTTGTCTCGGTGGTGCACACGCTACTGGAAACGGCGCGGTCGCTTCCGCCGACTTCAGTGGCCTTTGCCGAGCTCTACCTCTGCGCGACAGCTCTGATGCGCAACCTGTCTCTGAGTGCAACCGACGCGTTGCATCACAACCACCACCACCAAGTGCTGCAACTGCACCACCCCGCCGCGTCGCTGGCGGAGAACGAGTCCGCGTCCAGCCAGCTCATGACCGGCCTCGGCTGGCTCACAGCCATGCTCTGCTCGTTTGCGAGCGACGCGGATGAGGCACGGTATGTCCGCATGTGCGCCGAAGTCTGCGTAGCCGTCGCCAACTTGGCCAAGCTCAAGCGCCTGCGCCACGGCCTGCTCGACCTCGGGGTGCTCCAAGTGCTTCTGGACATCCACAGACGGTTTGGCTCGGTACGTGCTTGTGAGGACACGGCGACGCTCCGAACATGACGTAGAACCCGACGTATCGATTTATCAACCAGTCGTGCGCGGTGACGCTGCACCGGTTGGCGGCGGAGGACTCGGCGACGATGGAGCCTGGCTTGGTCGAAGCTCTGCTGTCGGGTCTCGACCACGCCGACTCGGTGGTGCACGAGGTCGATTGTGCCTCTACCTGTCTATCGTATTCATGAGGGCGCGTAGGGCGAGCGCGAAGAAGGCAAGGTGTCGCGACTGCCGCTCCAGACGCCAACATACCTCTCCACGTCCAAAGGCCTCTGTCGGCAGACATACCGGGACGTGCGCTGGGTCAACTACGTCGTGCAGGCGCCGAACGCCGCCGACGTGACGTGGGACTTGACGGCCGTCCCGATGGCCATGAGCCGCATCCGAGGGCCGCTACCGGCCGTTCAAGACGTCAAGGACGCGCACTGCGAGGTCGCCTGTGCGAGCGAGGCGGACACGAGCATCGTCCTCGGCATCGACTTGGAGAAGAAGGACATTGAAGCGCCGCTGCCTCTCGTGGCGCCCGCGGAGACCGAAGAGTACGGCCGCACCAAGCCGTTCGACCGCCACATGAAGACGAACCGCCGGCACAGTCGACAGAATGTGCTCATGATGATGGCGCTGCCGCAACTCGAACGCGACGCGGCGGCGTCCTCGTCGTAGCCCGCATCTTTGTACTGCATGGTAGTAGTAGTAAAAAGGCTCGATTCGTTGTTCTATCGCGCTAGAAGCGTGGCCGGAGGAGCTGCACGTGGAGGTTGGCCGACTGGTACACGGCGTCAAGCGCGTCGCGGGGCACGTGCTCGACGTCGTGCGACGCGGCGATGGCAGCGAGGAAGTGCGCGCCTTGGTTTCCCGCCGCGCGGGCTTCGTAAGCCGAGACGACGACGGTGGTGGCGTGCGAGAGCGCGCGGATCGTCGCCACCAGCAGCTGCGAGAGCTCCTCGTCGCCGTAGATCAAGTCGGAGCACAAGATCACGTCAAACGAGCCGAGCGACGCGCTTGGCGACGGGCCCCAGAGCAGCGTCTCGGCGCGCGCCGAGTGCTCCACGCGGTTTTTTGCAATGTTGACGTTGATCCACGGCAAAGCGACGGCCTAGAGCGGTATCAGCCATCGGTGCATCGCTACGGACGCGCACCATGTCGGTGAGAACGACGTCGGAGGCGCCGAGGAGCGCGGCCGAGATGCCTGGGACGCCAATGCCGCAGCCGAGTTCGATGACGCGCTTGCCCAGAAAGAAGTCCTACATAGCGGTTCTTAGCGGGATCGGAAAGATGGACGGTGGTGTACCGGTGCAAAGTAGGCTGCGTTCGTGAGGAACTTGGAGAGCACGAGCGCGCAGTCCCAGACGCGGCGCTGCTGCCCGAGTTCTTCGGCGAACGCGACGGCGATCGTGGGCGTGAGCGCGAGCTGGCCCTCGGCGAGACCGGCGCGGTCGCGGTGCGAGAGGCCCCAGCGCCGGCTCGCAATGTCGTCGGCGTAGGCTTTCGCCCGCGCCCGCTGCGCGCTGTTGTCCGTCGCGTCAAAGAGGTCCGCGTCCGAGTCGGAGCTCTCGGCCTCCGAGTCCGAGTGCACGATGCCCAGCCATTTGTGCATCGCGCAAGTCAAATTGCAAATTGCTGGGCCGTCATCGTCGCCGATGATTGGCTGGACAAGAGCCAATCCGAAGCGGCGATTCAGGTATCTTGCCGCCTCCTCCATGCCCACGGGTCGCTGCTGCCCGCCGTGGCGTACGTGCTGGAACCATTATCCAAATGAATGCACAAGCTGTCTAGTATGTAGACAAGTTGTCTATTGTTTATAGACAAGTTGTCTCATGTGTGTAGACAAGTTGTCTCATGTGTGTAGTCCTTGACTGTAGCGCTAAAAATACCAATTGACTGCGATTCTGCACGCGATGCCAACGTCGCCCGCGTACTAGGATGGAGCTCGGTACGAAGGTGCGACGACCCATACCCTCAAGCACACCTAATGTCTTTGGCTCAGATTCTCAAACGAAGCGCGTGCGGCCGTCGTCGGCCAAGGCGGCGCGACCGACGCCAACGCCGGACGACCCGAGCACCTCGCACGTCAAGCTCGCGATCCTGCAGCACATCTTGCAGCGCGAAGAGTGCATTTCCGAGCTCCTCGAGACGGTGCAGCACCATGCCGTCGACGCGGCGCTGCTCTTGTCCTTCTTGCCGCTTCTGCGCCTGTGTACGCTCGCAGTCGTCGAGGCCATCACCGCGTGGCAGCGCGCCGCCACCGACAGCAGTCGTCGCTACCTGTGGCATGGCACCAACTACCTTCTCAAGGCAGATGCTTTCCCGTTGATTCGATGCCAACAGTTGATTGCGTAGGTCCGGTCCGATACCGACTTTTTAGACGGCGCCTTGGCCGAGAGCATCCTCGGGCTCTCGAGTCTGTGCAGCAACCCGTTCTTCACATCGCTCAACCTCACAGCGCCGCAGCTCCGGCGCCTCGCGAGCAGCGAAGAGCTCTCGGACGACATGGTCTCCTGCATCGTCCGCCGCGTTCGCTTCGGCGAGGACGCCAGCGTCGTGGACCCAGCGTTGGCGACGCGGGTCGTACGCGCCATGGTGCACATCGTGCGCGAAGAAATTTTAGTCGACGCCGCGATGCCCATGCGCACTCTGGCGCCGCTGCAGTGGGACGTTCGTGAGAGCGCTGGCGAAGAGGCGCCGAAGAAGAGGCGCTTCAAGCTCCCACCGCCGCCGTCCACGGACGCCACAAAAGTCGAGGCAAAGCCAACAAAAGCATCTCCGCCGTCGGCGGCCCGACGCCGACGCCGCGTCGACACGAGCAGCTCGATGTCAGAGCTGCAGCGCATTTTTGAGCTCTGCAACGACGTGACGACTGCGGCGGGGCAGCTCCAGGCGCAGCTGCGGGTGCTCGATGAAGCCACTGGCGACGAGCGACCGTACGTTGCAAGGGTCGGCCACGCGCGAGACGTTGCGACGTGCGTGGAGAGTGTGGCAACACCGGTTATAGCAAAACCAGAGGCAGCCTTGACGACAGAGCCTCTTGTGTCTGCAGCGGATCTCGTCGAAATCATTCCGACCGAGGACGACGACGATGTCCTCCGGAGCATCACTGGTCGGCTCCAGACGCTGCGTGCGCTTGTGGCTTTGGATGACGATATCGCACCCAGCGTGGACAAGCCAACGACTGAGGTGCACCGGATCGAACCGAGTCCGGAGCCGATAGTGTCCGTCTCTCCGACCACAAAGCGCAAGAAGAAAAAGCGGCTCGAGGCGCCCAAGTCCCCGAAAGCACGCGCAACGACGTCGCCTGTCAAGAAACCAGTCATCAAGCAGCAGCCCCTCGCATCCACTATGCGAACCAAGTACTCTAGAATCAAGCCCACGACACCCATCGTTTCAACAACCACAACCATCGCTCCTGCAACGACAACCACAGCTCCTGCAACGACAATCATGGCGCCAGCAACGACAATCATGGCGCCAGCAACGGCCACGACGGTAGCAATCCTGGAGCCAGCGACGAGCCCACCCGCGTCACCACCTGCAACGGGGCAGTCGAATACGCCACTGGACCACTTGCGTCCGAGCGCCAAGGCGCGACCAGTGACAAAGCCATCGAAGCGACTGGCCTCGATGACCGACGTGCGCGCAGAGCCGCACTTTCCGTCGACGCGAGCAGCACGATCGCAGTCGCAGTCGCTGCTGGCGCCAGAACCGCTGGCGTCGTGTCCGCTCCCACTCGAATGCGCCGACGCGTCAGCAACACCTGGCGACCTCGACGTCGTACCTCGCCTCGACATGCTGTCGGTGGAAGCCGCGCCGTCGACGCTGTCGGCGCGTCACCGTCGACGGAGCCTCGACCACCGACGCCGGTGTCTCCTCCAGCACCGGCAGTCGGCAGCAACGACGCTCCAGCACGCGTGGCGGTGCTATCTGCGACGACAGCGCCAGAGACGACGCAACACCGCCGCCAGCATCCTCGCTGCGTTTTGGTGCCAATGCAAGCGGCGCTGGCGCCGTCACCACGCAGCCGCCATCGTGATTCAATCCAAGTGGCTCGAGCACCGCGAGAAACGCCGGCAGACGCGGCTCCTCCACGAGCGCACGGCGCAGCTCATGGGCGGCGTCGTCGTCCAGTGCATCCACCGAGCCATCGACCAGCATCTGCGCGCGCGGGCTGCGGGGCGATTCATCGCCAAGTGGATTCTTCGCGTGTACCGCACCACGTCGGCCGTTCCCATCAATTCCGCGGCAGAGGCCGACGTCACACCGTCTCTCAACCCACTCGATATAGCGACTGCCGCCAACGAAGTCGTCCCCGTTGCTTTCGACATAGAGCTGCCAACCGGCCTGGCGGTTCCTGCGCCGTCCTTGGCGTCTGAAGAAGCCACTGCGTACTACATGAGCGACGAGTTTGATGACGTGGCGCCACCAGCAGTCAGCCTGACGCCCTCACTGCCGTCGTTGCTGTCGCCACGTGCGCTGCAGCTCACGTACTTTGTCGAGTGGATGACCAACAGCCTCCGGTGCGTCCAGTTCCGAAGCATTCAGACGCGGGCGCTTCGACACCGGCGACTCGATGCGTTTCGCGCGTGGGAGGCGACGACCGACGGCTGGCGCCGGCGCCGCGACGCCTTTCATGCGTGGGCCGACGTCGCGTCGGCCGAGGCGACCAAGCGCGCGCAGCTCCGCATCGAGTTCGCGCAGGACGCCAAGGCGTGGAAGAAGCTGCGATCTGGCGTGCGGCACCAGCGCTGGACCAAAGCGATCGAGGGCGGGCGGCAGCATGGCGAGTCATAACACTCAACACGCGCGCCGTTTAGAGTCTTTTTGTTTTACGAACGTGTCCAGCGACGGATCATGCACTCTGGAGGCGTCGGCCGAGCGGCGGCTTCTCGAGGCCACTGCGCACGGCGAGCTTCCCGTCGGGAAACCGGTGCTCGTAGAAGCAGTCGTGTTTAAACGGACATTTGCCCCTAGATATTGGTGAATTGCCGGCAAATGGGCGAAAAGGAGCGCACCGGCCGAGGTTGAAGTGGCGGCAAGGGATCGTCGCGAGGTTGGCCTACGCGATCGTTGAATAGAAGCGCTGCGGAAGGAGTTGGGACCTTGTAGTCGGCGAGGATTTTCTGTTTCCGCGTCGGGTCCGCGATGAACCGGTTGCAGGGGACGATGAACGGCGCGTCGGCGGCGCAGACGGGGCATTGCCGGAGCTACAGCTCCATGAGACGTGGACTAAGATCTCTCTCTCTGGGTTACCACGTCTCGGTCCTTGTCCCGGATGCACTTGAGGCAGAAGGCGTGGACGCAGTTGGGCAGCAGGCCAAAGCGCTCGCCGGCGCGGAGGACGAGGTCCATGCAGATGTTGCACTCGACATCTTGTGACGCATGCAGCTCCTACACGGTGAGGATGAGAAGGCGAGTAGACGCGGCGAGTAGTACCTTGTCCATGAGCATGCCTTCGTCCGGCGAGAGGCCCCGCGCGTGCGAGTAGATGCAGGCGTCGCCAAAGCGGCAGGCGCCTTGCAGATGGAACTTGCATTGCTTCCTACAAAGAGGTTGACGCGAACGATGGAGGTGACAGTAGCACGCACGGTGGTGCGGCCGGCTGGATGTCCGAGTAGTCGCAGTGCTCGATGGACGGTCGATGCAGGATGAGGCTCGAGTCGGTCTCGTCGCCGTCGTCGGTGAGCGCGGCCATCTTGCGCGCGAGGTCGTCGAGCTGCTCCTGGAACTGGTTGCGCGCCGAAACGAATGTGTCGTACTCGGTCGGGCCGTCAATCGAGTCGGGCTCAACGTACGAGTAGTCGGTCTCCTCGTCGTAGTCGCGGCGGGTGAAGCTCGGGACGTCGGCAGGGTCGAGGATCTCGACCTCGAACGCATGGCCATTGATTTGACCCGTCATGATCCGGTTCGAGTCCGACTTGGGCTGCGACACGATGCTGCTCGACTGGTGAGGCTGCGACTGGACGCTTGACTGATTGTGCTGCGACTTGACGCTCGACGGATTGGGCGCCGAGTTGTCGGTGCGCTGGTCCATTGGCAGCGAGCACGCGATGATGGACGGCTCGGACCCGGCGCTACTGTGGGCGAAGCGGCAGGCGGCGCCCATGGAGCACTTGCCGTCGCGGAAGAACTTGCATGGCGGCCGCGCCGGGTGCTCGAAGCGGCAGGACGACCCCTTGCTGCACGCGTTCTGGAGGTGGAAGGTGCACACGGCTCGTTTAGTCGACCCACTCATCCAACTACGATCCGACCGTAGTACTACGACGCGACTAACTAAGACCGACGGCGACGCTGGTCGACCGACGCAAAAACGCAAACCGCTTGCTCGGGATGCCACCAGTGTTGGTCGTGCCAGAAGAGGGTTTTACCCACACCCTTTTTTGTCAGATTGCAAAAAGGGATCTCTCCCATGCGACCAAACTGGAGGCGACCATGGAGGCAAAGCTTGCGTTCAGACGAGACCCACGATGTACTTGCGTCTACATCTGCATGCAAAGCCTGCGAAGAAGAAGGGATCGATGGGATTAATGCGGTAATGCATTACGCATAAGCACGCGAAGAGTCAGATCGTAGTCTAGCGACGGAGCTGATACCGTCAAGGTGGGACCAAGGAAAGCGTCGCCTTCTATACTGTACTCATTGGACGCGCCGTAGCCAAAATCATGGGCCTCGAGTACACTGTGGGAATATACACTGCAGCTTTTGCAGGCACTTTGCTCGGCGGTGCCGCTCCTCCTCCTACGTCGCCTGGTCGTTGTCCACGCTTCGTGGGACAAACCTCTTTTCCACCGAGATCCAGTCGCCCGTGCCAAAAGCGGGTATGTCCTCTGAATCTCGATGTCATACCTGTGAAACTCGATATCTTACCTTCGAAGTTTGGTTTTCACCCACTTCGAACTGCGGATCTGGTAGACAGGCGACGTCGTCGTCGTCGGCCGCCGGCGCGTGGCTGGTCATTTCATCCTAGTCTAGCACGAGTGCGATGGATGCGATACTGCGCAATAAGGACCACCTCGAGCTTCTCCTGCGCGGGGCCATGGGCCTCTGCGCGCTCACGACGTTCGCCACGAGCACGGTCGTGACGGGTATTGCCAGCGGTGACTTTGCCTTTCTTCTTTCGTACACGCAGCTGCTCTACTCGGGCTTCTACGTCGTCTTTGTACTGCGCCAGAAGAAGATCTCACTCGAGCTGCGCACGAGAGGCGCCATCGACGGCGGCTTCGGGCTCCTCCTCTTCGTCGCCGCGATCTGGCTCATTGCGAGCCGCGCGTTCACGTACTGCACCGTCTCGAGCTGCGCCGGCGCGTACGCATGCACTGTCTTCCTCTTTGTGGGCGCTTTCATCCAAGGCGCGTCCGTCTACTTGGTGTATACGCAGCTTTACCGCCGACACTCGATCGACGACGCCACCAGCATCGAGAGCCCCGCCGTGTTGCAGTAGTATATCGATTTGTCGTCCTAACATTGATGTCGTTGTCTGCGACGCAAAATTTCCATGCAGAAGGTCATGTCCGTCGTTTGCTACAGCGCAGGTTCAAGTGCTATGGAGACAAGTCTACGGGTTCGGACCAAGGGCCTCCTGCGCTCTGCATATGCTCGTGATAGCGTGTCGCTAACGATGCAACTGCAGCGACAAGAAGAGTCTCTACATGGAGCGTTCTCGAAGGCACGTGCTTTGGTTCGTTGGACTCCTGGTTCAGTACGGGGCGCTATAGAAGGCAACGGAAGGTGGCAGGGTGCAAGTCGCTGCGTCCTCTACAAGCGAATTGATCGATGGATTCCCGTGGTCCTCTTCGAGTCCGCATCTTGGATATGACTGCTCTCTCGGTGGAACTCCGAAATGAAATCGTTTCTTATTGATGCGTGGCAATCTATCAGCTTGATATCTAGACCACAGTGGTCTCGGGCGCTGGTTTCGCGTGGAGCGCGTTCAAGAGGCGTTCGTACTTAACGGTCGGGCCGCGCGTCTCGTACTCGAGGAGCACGAGCGTGTGGAACTTGTGGCGCGAGAACTTGAAGCCGAACGTGTTGAGCGTGCTCCGGAAGGCGTCAATGTCCACGTAGCCGTCGCGCACGCCGTCGTCTGCGTCGAGCTTGAAGAGCGCAGCCTTGATGTCGTCGACGCCCTGGTTGGTTTCCGTGAGGTACTTGTTGATCTGCTCGACCATCGCGCCCTTGAGCTCCTCGACTTCGCTCAGATGGTCAATGACCCGCGACAGCTTGGTCGGGTCGACCTGCCACGCGCCGTCGAGGAGTGCAAAGTGGCGCACGAGGCGTGGCGCCAGCGCAAACGTGTTGAGCAGGAGTGGTGCCATCAGCGGCAGCAGAATCAGCGGCGATGTGTCGTGCAGTGCCGGGACCACGCACGTGAGGAGCATGCCATAGTACAAGCCGTTGACGATGAGGAAAAAGTGCAGAAAAAACTGGGCGGCCTTGCGCGAGAAGGGCAGCGGGAGCCGCAGGTCGGCGTTCTTGGCGTGGAGCGTGTTGGCGCTCCTGGCGTGGCGCGCGCACGTGATGAAGCGGAAGCACGTCAGGAGGAGCTGCACGAGCAGGTTGTGCGCCAAGAAGCCGTGGCGGTGCTTGACGCCCTTCTGCACCTCCTCCGAGACGACGCGCATCTGTTGGATGGCCTCGCTTGAAGTCAGGATCGGCTGGCTGCTCTCGCTGATCGAGAGCGCGCGAATGGCCTCGAGGAGCGACTCGCGCGTCGCCTTGCGCGAGGTCGCGTAGCCCTCGGGGTCGGCGGCTTGGCCGAGCGCCTTGGTCTGCGCGTGCACGACGAGCGCGTGGTTGAGCCGGCGGAGGTACAGGAGCATGAGCGTCATCGCGAGCGTCAGCGTCGACGCAAAGACGCCAAACACCGGAAACCGGTTGCGCTCGAGAGCTTCGGCGGCGGCAAACTCGTCCGAGTCAAAATGGAACTGGTTGCGGTACACGCTGTGCGCTTGGAGCTCGCCCGTGCAGCCGAAGAAGGACGCCATGAGCACGAGGAGCAGCGTCCAGGTGGTAAAGTCAATCTCGATGAGATCCACAATCTGGCTGTCCTGGATCTCGCGAATGTACTTGGCAAACGAGAACGCACTCGGGAGCTCGTACGACTCGCGGAAGAAAGCTTCGAGGAGCTTGTGCTCGCAGAGCCGATGGAGGCGGCCCGTGGCGCGACGCCGGCGGCACCACCACGCGCGCTCCGCCGCCATGACGTCCTCCGTCTCCTTGGCCATGTGCAGCAAGCCCGACGCGGTCGTGATCGAGAGCGAGTCCATCTTCGAGTTGGACGACCGGAGACGCGTAAAGATGACGAGCGACTGCGCCACGAGGAAGAGCGCGACGAAGAAGATGAGCATGTCCGCCGCGTCCATCGAGTGGTACTCGACGCCGTACGACTGGATGGCGCCGACGTACGTCGTAGCTTTCACGAGGACGTAGATGAGGCCGACAATCATGAGCTCTACGCAGCGACACGGTGAGAAACGCATCCGAACTACGGTGTGGCGTACCGCCCGTGGTCTTGTTGAGCATCTCGTAGTACTTGTGGTGGCGCTTGCAGGCGTGTGTGAGCTTGTGCAGGCCGGCCTCGAGGACGACGACGAAGAGGATGAGCAGCAGCGTGCAGAGGAGGACGCGCTCGATCGTCAGCGGCGCGGACGCGCCGTCGGCGGCAAGGATCCGGGTCATGATGGCCGATGAAATTGCGGAATGGCCGTGCCAATTGCGATCCAACGGCGCCAGCCAATGGCATCGCCGCGTCAACAGCATGCGAAGTTCGTAGATCACGGAGGCCACGGATATTTCACAACCCGCGTCTCTTCCGGTAAAACCAGCTATGGGGCGGTGATGCGTGAACTGGATTGGCTTTAAACGGTGTACACATGGATGGTGATTGGTCTAATTGGATTGTACGGTATTTTTACATTGGTGTGCCTCAAAATGCAGGAAGACAAGCGTTCAACCGAAGTTCGAAGAGACAGTACAACCCAGTGCGGCGCGCCAACTCATGGCAGCGACTGGCGCCACTGCAGCTCCCCTGCTCATCGAGTGCGGTACCTGAGCTCATGTAGTACATAAAGGTATCTGGCTTGGAGCAGGACGTACCAAGGATCGTAGGATTATGCGTCGCTTTGGAATTGTTCGCACCGTCAAACTCGTCCCTTACCACAAAATTTACTTGAGATTTGGGTGGATTCAGGCGGACGATGTTGATGCGCGCCAAAATTCTCAACTCGCAAGTCCAGATTTCTGGATCCGCACTCGCAGCAGCGATCATACTTGCCGTGGAGGGATACCACATGAGCTGCGCAGCACTCAAGAAACCACTGAATGTACACTGCCGTCATATCGTTTGCAGTGAGTGGTTCCCTATTGTACACGAGTAGTAAGTACTACACTGTACAACCAGCAAGGCAGCGGCACATGGAAGTTCGCCAAGTTCTCGGCTTCAAATGATAGCAGTCTGTCTGTGCATGGACGATTGGTACGGTTGTGATGACGAAGCAGTAGGGAGATTCTTGAATCGCGGCCTCGCGTGTCCGGATCGTCGACAAGATGGCTTTGGCCTGCGTTCTCGCCCGACCTTGGGCCACCGAGATCAAAGCCATGCCTCCATCGCGCCTTCGGTCGCAGGTCTTGCTTGATGCTGGGTCGTCTTCTGTACACAGTCCTCAGATAGTCCGACTCGAAACGTGCTTCTGCTGCGGCTCGCAGGGCAGGTTCCAACAGCATTGCAACAATTACACTGGAGTTTCGAAAAGAGCTTTATGGTCAGACACAGTTCTGGTCCTTGAATATCGCTGAAGGAAATTACTTGGTCTCTAGGTTGCGTTTGTCGACAATGAGGCGTCGTGCCAGGTTTCAGATACGGATGGTGCGTCCGGGGGAGCCCTCTTGCGAGTAAGGTGTCATTCAATGTTATTCTTCCGGAGCATCACTTTCTCTGGAGCTCCACGAAGCGGCATTTTGGTGGTGGATAACATATACAACTGCCCACTGCGTTGCGGTGCCGCAGCCTTTCAGCCTCATGACTGATTACACATTAACCTTATTGGTACAAGCTATTGGCACAAATCACCTTAGCGTCAAGGCACCGGAAATAAAGTGACGTTGGGGCCTCGAGAATGAGAATATATCGAACCCCGGTCGACCTAGTGACTTTCACTTGTAAATAGGCGCCTCTTGTCCATCGCATTTTGGATCGATCTTGATTGATCCACAAATCGCGTCTTATTTTTCTATTACCAGCATTGAACCCGCACGACTAGATGGTAATCCGATCTGTCGTCGCTTCAAAACTACCTTTGCTGCAGCTGCACTCGATAAATGACCACGTTCGTTTTTGGCAAGGTATTGGAACATTTTGGGGCGACTTGGACAAGTGCACTCGACTCCAGTCGTTCGGTTCCCTTCGATTCGCTTCGATGGGCCAACTTCCACAAAACCACACTGCTTTCGGCACCGGCGGCCATCGGCGCAATAACCTTCAGGCATCAATCCAACGTTGATGGACCAGCTCTCGTCGCGCTTGCAAGTCGTACATTCTCTGCTTGCACGACTTCTAACGCTTCGACGGGCAACTGGCTTTCATGACGTGGCGCCACGAGCCGCGCGATAGACGTATGCACGCATCGTCGCAGCCATGTGATGGAAGCGAAGCATCCAGCGCATCGAACGGTCATCCAGACGCCAACAAAATGCATTCTTGCTTCAATTCGCGAGTTGCAGCGACGTGTTCGTTTATAGCTCACTTTTCATATTGCCCTTCTCATGCTGTCGCGTCTATATGTTCTCGCGCTGCTCGTCGCCCTCGTGGCTGCGAGTGACACCGGTTCCATGCTCCGCATCGACGGCAGCATCAATGCGACGGCGCGTATCCAGCTCACGACCGAGCCGCCATCAACGCTGTCGCCGAGTGACGCAAGCTTGCTTGACACGCTCATCGCGACCTTGGTCAACGTGACCAAGACGGCGCCGCCAGCCAACGCAACGACGATTCAAGTGCCGCACAAGACGATCGTTGAAAACAGTGTGCTTACGCCGACGTCGCCGGCCGCTGCGACGGCAGAGTCGAGCGACGGCATGCCGACGACGACGGCAATGCTGGTGGGCATCGTGATTGGAGTCGCCGGGTGCGCTCTCATTGCCGCGGCGTTTCTCCTGCACCGTCGCCGGCGGTCGTCGCTCGAGACCCCCAAGCCCGACGACGCGGTTGCAAGCCCGCCGCTGCCGACGTACGAGGCGCAGGAAACCTCGCGCGTCTCGGGCGTGCTGTTCTACATGCCGGGGCGGCGGCGGTCCAGTGCCCAGACGCCCGACGTCCGCGAGTCGTCCGTGCACGCGCTGCCCACGGGCTTCCAGCGGCCAGGTCTGCGCCTCGACACGATCGCACACGGAGAAGAGTCGGAGAGCATGTCGACGCTCTTTGCGACAACGACGTCGGTGCGCAGCGTCATGAGCTACTCGAACGGATCGCCCAACTACCTCTCACCGGTCCACGGGTCGACGGGCACGGCCTGCGCGTCGACGGCGCAGTCGGCCAATGGTTTCTTCATCGCGCGCGACGGCGACTCGTTCACGGACGCGCGCGAGTTCCAATCGATCCTCACGCGGCCCACCATGGACTCGGTGGGGTCCTCGATGTTTACCCCCCGCGGCGCCCCGCCAGCACCCAACACGATGGAGCCCTAGTGCGCCCGTTGCCAGTGAATGTTGTGTCGTTCTGTACTAAGTATCTATAAACTCAACGCGAGATGTATGCACAAACGTGATCTGACATGCCAATGAACGTTCCGCGAAGTTGGTGCACCGTCACGGTCGTACTCATCGTTGGTCACCCGGTCTGCGCAACCGAAGGGACTCAGGATGCTTGGCGCCCCGGACACATCACGACAGCCATCCATGGCAGCATGCAAGCTCCCCCGCCGTCCATTTGCCCATGCGATGCATCATCATGCGTGTGTCGTGATGTGCCGGATGCATCATCAGCGTGCCACGTCAGCGGCGTGGAAAGAAGGCTTGAAGCTGCGTTTTTATATACTAAAGTGAAGCTTAATCTAATAGATTCAAATATAAAGTTTAATTATGCATGTAAAATGTGCAAATCACATCTCAGATCCAGGTGCCGGATACAGAACTCGTATGCGGAAAGCATATCCTGGCCGCGTGGACTGCATTTTCATTCCCCAAGACGACGACGAAGATGGCGACGGTGATTGACGGCAAGGCTGTCGGCGACGCGATCCTCGAGGAGATCCGCGCAGAGGTCGCGGCCAGCGCGGCTGCCAACGCCAGCTACGTGGCGCCTGGCCTCGCTGTTGTCCTCGTCGGCGACCGCAAGGACTCGGCCACGTACGTGCGCATGAAGAAGAAGGCGTGCGAGAAGGTGGGCATCCGCACGGTCAGCGTCACGCTGCCGGCCGACGTGACCTTCGAGGCGCTTCTCGCTCAGATCGACGCGCTCAACGCCGATAGCAGCGTGCACGGCATCCTCGTGCAGCTCCCGCTGCCAGCGCACCTCAACGAGGAGGTCGTGCTGAACCGCATCGTGCCGGCAAAGGACGTCGATGGCCTCCACCCGATGAACGTTGCGAGCCTCGCGATCAAGTCCAAGCTGCCATACATCGTCGCCTGCACGCCCGCGGGCTGCCTCGAGCTCCTCGACCGGTACTCGATCCCGATCGAGGGCAAGAAGGCGGTCGTGCTTGGTCGGTCGCGCATCGTGGGCATTCCCATGTCGCTGCTTCTGCTCGGGCGCAACGCGACGGTGACGATCTGCCACTCCAAGAGCGAGAACCTCGAGGCGACGGTCCGCGACGCCGACATTGTCGTGGCGTGCTGCGGCCGCGCACAGATGGTCAAGGGCTCGTGGCTCAAGCCCGGCGCGACCGTCATTGACGTGGGCATCAACGCGATCGACGACGCGACGAAGAAGGCCGGGTACCGCCTCGTGGGGGACGTCGACTATGACGAAGCCAAGAACGTTGTCGGCGCCATCACGCCCGTGCCCGGCGGCGTCGGACCGATGACGATCGCGATGCTGCTCAAGAACACGCTCCTCGCCCAGCAGCGAGCGGTGTAAACACATGAGTACATTTCGTTTTGCTTGATCAGCCTCAAGACTGCAACATTATTGCAGTGTCTCGGTCGCTGGCCTCGGCGAGCGAAGGCCACCGAACGGCCACGAACACATTCGAGCGCCAGGGCGTTCTAAACCGTGCAGAGGTGCAGGCTTCTGACATGTGCAATTGGACACGACGACGACGACGACGAACCAGTCGGCGCACATCCCAACCGTGCTCCAGCCGGTGTCAAGTGATGATGGAGGATTGAAGCCGGTCGCGTCGTCTGGCAACTCTTTCATCGTTCGAACACGCAACCAGAAGACTGTGCAGCACGCGTGCATACAAATACGTGCATACTTGTGCGGAGGTGCAGGTACAGTAATCTTTTGCTCGCGGTCGCAACCTGGTTCTGCTCCAGGGCGTCCAGCAAATATTATCCAGAGCTACTGGTATCCAGTGCAGTCACCGCAGTGCGCCCCAATAGTCTATCAAGCATACACCCGCCAAGATAGCGGATCCTCGCCTGGACGTGGTTGCGGCACAAAATACAGTGTATGGTGTGCTACAGTGTATGCTCCCGAGTCTGCTTGCCGTGCATATCAGACGGCGACAACCAATCTTGGTCGGCACGGATTGGTGGCATGATTAATAACCGAAATGCGCTATTGGTAGAAATCAATTAACGACGAGTGGCAAGGGACTTCAACTTTCGTCCCCTCTGTCGGCGATGAGTCGCTGCGAAGCCCACACCTCAGCGGTCGCATGACCAATCTTTGAAGCCTCGTACGACTCTCGAGTAGCTGTCCGTGAGATACACCAAGTCCTCTACTGGCGCAGTGCACTCGCACCGAGACTCGAGACTCGAGACCTGGTGACGTCGCCGGTTGCTCTTCGCGGCTACGCACGCGACACGCGCCAGCTGCAATCAGTGTATGCGCGTTTCGTATTCGGTCTTAGAGGTTTCGACACCATACGACTCTGTTAGACGCCAAAAAGAAGGCGACACGGCATATACAAGCTCTACTAATCACTTTTGAGAGCTGCACCGTGACGCCCGCACAAGACGCACGTCTTCCTTCTCGACGGATTGCTCGAGTGCACTGCGACGAACGAGCTCTCGGCGCCCAAGATATACATATACATACAGTGAATGCGTCGAGTACGCGGCAGCATATGCCGACCCTTCTTTTGGCCCGTGATCACAGTGCCAATGTCGGCGTGTGATTGGCTTAGGATGCAGGTGCACATTGATTACTATAAAATCGGCTCGCCCTTCCCAGTCACTTGCAAGCTCCAAACGACGACACGCTCGCGGCCGCATGGAGGAAATCGTGCTAACAGTAAACTGTGCTTGGTACCAAGGATGAGGCTGGGGACACACCGCCCGCCCAGTTGCCATCATGTTGGTCGTGATCATGTGGCTGTGGACGCTGATAGGACCAGATGTTATGAGCGTGGGTTCGGCAACACACGGCGTGCGCCTTCTACGCACCCGGGCCGCCAAGCTCCTCGCCCGCCGCTCCTTTGAATCATCATCTTGCAGTAGTAGCAAGGGACGTGAAGTGGGTGATTCGCGTCTCGTGGGCGCGTCACGCGGCCGTCTCTGCGGCAGAAAAATGAACCGACATGAGTCCCCGCATACAACTATATGCTACTACTGCGCGGGCGACCAGAACCCACTGTGTACGAGCAGCGATGATCGCCAAGCACAATCGCAAGCCTTCCCGAGTGTCGACCGCGCCGATCCTGCGCCTGGCGACAGCCTCGCTACGAGGTGTCTGCGAAATTTCACATTGTCTGTCAATCCACGATCCTGCTCGCGTAAAATAATTTTCACGATTAGAATAAAAACGAGTGGCCCGCGGGGTCGGTGTATGCGGCGACAAGTAAGCGCCACCGGGTGGTGCGGGTGCGTCGACTTGTTGCACATCAAAAAATAGTTTTAAAATAAAAAGAAATACGCATACACAAAGCACCGAATTCAGATACGCGCGTCGGTAATAGCCTTGGCCTCACGCCCCGATGTTGGCGCTCTCTTGCCGCAGAGTGTGCGTGCGCCTTCGAACGAGATTTAAACCAAGGGAGGGATTCAGTGGACTCGAGGAGGTATGCGTCGGTCCCACCGTCCACCACGTGCGGTGCATTAAAATAACGAAGCAAATGAAATCGGTGCGCAAGTTGGTCTCTGTCTCGGCGGGTGTAATGCTGGATTGGAACAGAAGCGAACGCGGCGCTAGCATACACGCCCAGCTGGCGCGCGAAACTATCCACCCACGTGGCGCCGAGTATAAGGTTTGGAGGGACGACCACTGCCATTTTCCAATTTTCTCTCCAACGAAAACAACATGATGGCACCGTGCCATTGCAAATACGAGCACTGCGACCGGTTCGCCAAGCAGAGCGGACTCTGCCTCACGCACTTTCGCTGGGTCCACCCGACGCCGCCCACCGCCGCTGTCTCGTCGCCGACCACGAGCGCAACGACGACGAGCTCGCCCCGTACGGCGCAGACCCGAAGCTCAAGCTCAAGAACCGCAACCGCAAGTGCCGCACCGAGCACTGCCTCTCGTACGCCCGCACGCGGCGGCTTTGCAC